TCCCGGGCACCTGAAAGGCCGCGACATCGGCTTGTGGTACGCGAAGAAGCAGGGGCAGAAGAACAAGGAAGCCGAGAGGCAGGAGGTAATCGGAGACGCGGCGGGGCCAGGCAGGGCGTGAGGCCGGGGAGCGGCTCTGTCTTCTGCCGCCGCCCCTAACTTTCTTTGTTTCTGCTTTTGTTTCTTAACTTGGTTCCTTAACCCGTGTCAGTGCTCTGTGGAGTGAATACGAAGCGCAGTGGAGCTAGGCTAAAGCTTCCCGTGGAGGATACTGTGTGGCTTAACGCTGGCCAAGCGCCTCTGACGTGAGGCCGCTGGGATGGTTGTGGTCTGCGTGTGCTCGGCCGGAGCACGGGGGACAAAGCCAGCGTTCATTCCAGGCTCCAGCCGAGACGGGCTGCCTTGGGATGTCACTGTCAGAGTGTCTGAGGCCGCCCTTTCCCTTAGAATAAGTAATGATCACTTTTACTTAAGATTTCCACCCTTTCCCTTAGAATTATGGTCGCTTCTATTTAAGATTTTTGCCCGATGCGCTCTGAACTAGCGACCATTCTGCATTAGGTACAGGTTTGCGGGGAACAAAAGCTGCCAGGCACGATTTGGCGGGTAGGTCGTTCGGCAGATTAGTCCAGCTTTCATTTTTCGTATTAAAACGGCCACAAACCCGCAGTAACTTCCTAAAGACTCCTTGCCAAGTTCTGTTTACCCCTGTTTTCACGCCAGGTGTTATGCATGTTGCTATGGGGACCTGAAGAAATAAGATGTCCAAGTAACTTAGGGTCTAGTTGGGAAAATACTAAGTCCGAAACGGATGAAAAGTGAAATCAGGAGGAATTGTTCATCATTACTTCCACCTGAAACCAGTTGTGCCGTGGACCGTTATCAGGGGAACTCTTGATTTCCAGTCCCTCCCCAAACCTTCTCCATTTTTGTAAATGTCACTACCACTTACTCACCTGCCATGGCCAAAATGGGGCTTATCTGTGACTTCTCTCTTTCATTTCAGCAAATCTGTCTGTTCTGCCTTTTTAATATGTCCCAAATCACAACAGTTACCATAGGTCAAGCCCCTATTTTATTCTCTGTTCCTGGCCTCCTGGGTGATTGTTTTTGTTTCAAAAGTGAAGAGATTTGACACTGTCCATGTACGGATGCTATGATGGGGGTCAGTGGAGAGGGGACGTATATCAGAGTGGGCCAGATCATGCCACAGCAGTAAACCGCCCCCAGATCAGCGGTCATAACAGCAGAGGTTTGTTTTTCTATTCATATTACTTGACCATGGGAGTACAGTTGAGAGTTTTCATTATGGGAATGAGGCTCCTCTTGCCTCCACCCCTTTAGCTGGTTTTGCTGACAGCCAGGAGGGAGCACAGTAAATCACCCCCGATTCTTGGAGACTTCCATTCACATTTCTCTGGCCAGTAAATCATGGCCATGCTTAACTCAGGGCTGGGAAAATGCAGTCCTACCATATCTCTGGAAAGAGGCAAACCAGAATATTGATCAATAGCCTAATGACTACTAGAGAGAGAGAGATTTAGGAAAGAAAGATAAACCTCAAAAATAGGAGATAGCCCTGAGGTGAACGGAATTGAGCTGCAGGGTTTAGGTGGAGAAATTAACTTTAAGCAGGAGAATGGACTCCTTCCATTTTAACAGGAAGGAAAAGAATAAATGATGGGTTCTGGTAGTGTTGGGTTTAGGTTTGGTTGCAAGCAATTGAGGACTTTTTGTTTTCTTTGTGAATAGTGTGTGTGAAATTATGAGGGTGAACAGGAAGGTGGTATTGGTCTATCACAGAAAGGAGAAAGTTTGAAATAGTTGCAGATAATTAGAAGCTGGTAAAGTAGACGTAGCCACTTTGCTGGACACTACTGAGGGTCTCTTTGGCCAGGAGAAAGATAACTATTTGAAGATGTCTGGGGAGGGAGAGGGGTAATGTTTAAAAAAATCAAATCAAATAGTCATATACAAAATGTGTATGAGAGTTTCCAGACAGGGGTGAGATAAAGTGAAGAGTGATGGGACTGGAAGGTTAGGAAGGACGCAGCTTACAAACAAATTCTCAGCTGCTTGTAGCCTCTGGGCCCTCATTGGGCAGAGAACCTCATTAAAATTAATTTATAAAATATGTAAATTTTTCCCCGGCCAGTGTGGTTTAGTTGGTTGAGCTTCGTCCCGTGCACCAAAAGGTTGTTGGTTTAATATTAGCAACTTTAAATTTTCAGATTCCAGAAATTATGATTGACCATCTTTGGGGGTCTTTATTCTGCTGTTTACCAGTGTGTGCTGCCTAGCCAACTCCCTAGCAAATGCTAAGCAACCAATAAATGCTAGTTTTTTCCTACACTCTGTATTAGTCTGCTCAGACTGCCATAAAAAGTACGGCAGGTTTAAGCCTCAGTGACATAAACAACAGGAAATTATTTCTCACAGTTCTGGAGGCTGGGAAGTCTAAGATCAAGATGTCAGTAGGTTGATTCCCGGTGAAAGCTCTCTTCCTGATTGGGAGACAGCCTCTGCCCTCACATGACCTTTCTTCTGATGAAAGAGTGAGCAAGCTGTCTGTTGTCTTTTCTTATAAGAACACTAATCCTATCTGATTGGGGGGGGGGGGTGTCGTCCCACTTTATGATCTAACTTAATTACTTCCTTAGAGGCCACATCTCCAAATAGTCATACTGGGGTTAGGGCTTCAACATATGAGCTTCGAGGGAATACATTCAGTCCATAACACTCTCTCACTTCAAAGTCCTTAATGAAAACATATTTTTTAAAAAAGGTAAATTGTGTTCTTACTAAAAAGTATCAATTATGTTTTCAGGGGTTATTTCATTTTGCAATCATCTCACCTTTTTGTGACTATCTTAAACTCATGTAACAAGGTGAGGAGGTGAACCTTTGTTCTGTTAGAGGTAAAAGCTTCAAAATGTAAAGTTCTAGTTGGTTTAAGAAATGCGTTACTGTGAATGAGTTTCAGTTGGGAAGAAATCGTTCTTCTGGTAGACATTACATAATCTTCTCTTTGCCATTTTGAAAATGAATGAAAGAAACAGTGGCTTTGAGCCCTTGATGTAGTTGGGAAGGGTATAAAAATTAAGAAAGCTTTATTTGAGGAGATTATGTCTTGGGACTTCCTTCCCAGAGGAGTCTTTAATTAAAGTATTGCTGTAGATTCTTAAATTTCTGTCAAGAAAAGACATAGTAATCAGTAACCATCTGAACCATCCAGAATGTAGTTCATGGAGCAGTAAATGTTAATATATGTCAACGACATTTCAAAATTTAAACCATAGGGGAAAATATTCTAATAATGAATCTCTGTGTTGGGGATGGCCAAAACCACACTCAGGTACCATGATTCACTAGGAGGAATCACAAAACTCTGAAAAGCTGGTGAACTCACAGTGAGTTTTTTGCTGTTGTTTTTATAGCAAATTATTACAGAATAAAATCAGCAAAGATAAAGGTGCATAGGGCAGAATCCAGGAGAAGCCAGTTTCAGTGGACATAGCCTATAGAAGAAAAGATACATTAGTCCATTATATAAACCATCTTAAAAAGATTTATGCTGCACAGTCAAGAAAAACGAAGTTTGGGGTTTAGTGTTTGTCAATAATTAGGTTTTGCTGCAGCTCATAATTCTCTAAGGCTTTTCTGTTAGCCAGGATTTTGCAGTATTAAACTTTTTAATTGTCTGAGCGTAATTATGCTTTTATTATCCCTTTAATAAGTTATTAGCACAGATCTCCTGGAATTCCCCAAATATCTCATTGTATTCTTTTTGTGTACGTTTATTTTCTTAAAGAGAAAAATGGTTTTAACCCAAATGTCATATATTCTCATTTTAAAGGATAGATTCAACCATTTATCCATTCTTTGGACAGACTTCTCTGGAACATCTACCAGGTGCCAGAAATATATCTGGAAAAAATACTGTAAAAAGTGTAGACTATAAAGTGAATAACTTGTTTAAAGTTATTTAACTTGTTTAAAAAATTAATAGTAACCAAGGCAAGATCCTATTGCACATTTTCTGCAACTGGCTTTTTTTCATTTCATACCTTGGCCATCTTTACTGTGTGCACAATTGAAGACAAAAATCTACCCACTCTTTTAACTACTGGGTTTACTTATAATTCAACTAATTATAATTTGCAGTTATAAAAGAACAGTTTTTAAAAGTTCCTTTTCTAACTTTGTATAGTGTAACTAATATCTTCCATGCATTCTCTTCCAATAAAATAATATTTTCTCTGCTGTGTTTTTTTTTTTAATATGTTTTTTACTGACTTTTAGAGAGAGAGGAAGGGAGAGAGAGAGAGAGAGAGAGAGAGAAACATCAATCAGCTGCCCCTACTGGGGATCAAGCCTGAACCCAGCATGTGCCCTGACCTGGAATGGATTCTGTTGGTACATGGGAAAATACTCAACCAATTGAGCCACACCAGCCCCGCCTTTGCTGTGTGTTGTGTGTGTGTGTGTTTTAATAATTCTCATTCTATGAGGAAACTGCATCATTTGCCATATTGGATCATCATCTCATGAGCACTGATCATTTTATATTCCTCTTTTTATGTAAGAACTTTAAAATGCTCTTAAAATTCTCATTGCAACCAAAATAGTATTTCCAATTTTTAACTTAGGGTTTGTTTTTAAACAGAATATTGGGTTTCATTAATTTTAATTGTGGGTATCTGTAAATTTAAGCTTGGGAACAAAATCATAATATGTGAGGGTAGAAGGTAAGGAAACCCAAGTTTTAGGAAGGAACATAAATATTCATTTTTACCCAGTTACACTAGAGCTAATTTTGTACATATATAATAGAAAGGGATCTTGAGGTT